TAATATAGAACAAACATTAATCAAATGTGACGCATGACTCGATACAGAAGCTAATTATGAAGAAATAAAGGAACACATAAGTGGGCCCCCTGGGAAGGCCTTTAGGTAAATGTATATATCGTCTCGGCATTGTTAAATATTTAGCCTAATAAAGAGAACATTGTCTTATTATATCTGTCCTCCCTGTGCTGTACCCAAGGTATTGTTTCCTAAGGAATGTACAAGATTACTTCTTAACAATGATAGCCATTGTTCCGACTTTGTTTCGGGATTATTTAGTGCATTAAACATTTGTTGGCTCTTTTATCAATGGAAATTCAAATTAAGGTAACTTCAATATTCAATGTAATTATATCAGCAATATGAGAAACAGAAGAAATATTGTTAGGCAGTTTAGGCTATTTTTGGCAGATATAAGAACTTATGGAGCCCTGTAAAATTTTATTAAAACTACTAACATGAAATTATAAATATTGCATAATAATTGTACAGAATAATTATTGAAATAGTAATAAAAACATATATTACATATACCAGTATATCACTGATATGGTGATGATAAAATGCAATGATGACTTACTATCATATACTATATTGTATAATAGTACAATACTACAAGTACTTAAGTACTATTTGCACATAAAATTAAATTTGTGTACTTTATTCATTTCAAAATCTGTAAAATCAATTGCATAAAACAATGAAGGGGCTAAAACTATATCAAAAATTGTATAGCAAAAGCTAACGAATCATTTTACAGCTTTTATTATACAATTTTTAATATAGTTTTAGTCCCTTCACAGTTTTATGCGATTGATTTTACAGTTTTTATATATAAATTGAGTACATAAATTTAATAGTGCTTTAATTTTATGTACAAATAGTACATAAGTACTTGTAGTTTTGTACTATTATAATATAGTACATAATAGTAAGTCATCATTGACTTTTATTACCATCTGGTATATTTTATTAGAATTCCATTGTGAAAATGTTAAAATCAGTATAAATTCATAGTGAAAATTACTATTTTTACTTGATATAATAATATGATCTATACTTTGAAGTGAAATATCAAGATATTCAAAGCAGGATTGGAATCTGGAACCTTGTGGTAGCAAGAACAAAAGCTATTGCCACCAGCTATAGAATGAATTCAGATGTAGAATGATTTTGCACAAAAAAGTCAGAATGATACTAAGTACTTGAACAATAAAATAAAAATTAAAAAAATATATTTGTTTGAAATAATAGAAATGGCCTAATTCAAAGTGGGATTTGAATCTGGGCCCATGTGGTGGCAAGAACAAAGCTATCACGACTAGCTAAAGAATGAATGAATTCAGATTTAGAATGATTTTGTACGAAAAGATACGAGAATTTGGTCCTTGAACAATTAAATAAAAATTTAAAAAAACATGTTTTTGAAATATTTTTTTATTCAACAGAGATACCCGAAGACTACAGTTAATAATTAACCTGTAAATAATACCAATACATATTGGTAAGTTTATGCACCTTGCCTTAAGGCTTATTATAATGCCACTTACACCTAGTAATGTTATCATCTCATAAACAGTCTTACAGAATATTTTATTATTCTAGGAAAGTATAAGCTAATTTTCCATAGCTTTGATAGGGCTTTTCTTTATATGAATCAGAATATAAATTATTTATAATAATTTAATAAGCTATTACTACTAGCTATAGAATGAATGAATTCAGATGTAGAATGATTTTGTTCGAAAAGAAGCCACAATTTGGTCCTTAGATAATAAAATAAAAATTAAAAAAAGTATTACAATCAATATTGGTAAGTTTACAACTAGTATTACAGAATATTTTATTATTCTATAAAACTACAAAATGATCTTTATTAGTTTTAGGAAGGTTTCTCCTTACATGAATCAAAATAAGATATTTATTTATATCTAAACAAGATTTATAATATTTTATAACCAATAGTAAATAGTAAAATTATGAATTTAAAAAAAAATTACCTGTTTCAACTATAAAAATGTAAAACTCGTGTGAAAAAAGTATATAACCTAAATACTTCAATAGCACTCACAAACCACATGTATAAAAAATTACATTATAAAGTCATAGATAAATATAAATAGCTATTAAATATAGATCACTAAATTTAGGAATAGTTTCTATCATATTGTATGGAGGCGCTGCTTAACGGGCGCTATCTATTTAAGGTGAGGCTACACAGGTGGGATTTTGAAATTGTCGCTAAAATTCAATCACACCAATTTTTGTTGAATTTTTTTGTAATTTCAGATTACTTACTAAAGTTTTTATATCACTATTCTAATTTTACAGTTTTTACAATTAATAACACAATTACTTAAAGAAAATATCTGTAATTTATATACAAGTAGTATTATTGAATTGTCAATGATAGCATTAATGCCAAATATCAAATTTGACCAGTATATTTTATAATTTCAAATTGGTTACTACTGTTTTCTTATTATTATACAAATTTTGCAATTTCTTGTGATTATTTCCCACATTTACTTAACAAATATGTCTAGTTTATATAAAAATATCATTAGCAAATTATGGCATTCGTTACACTGGTTATTACTGGAATATATTTTAAAAACACTATTAGTTGATTTCTAAAATCATTTTATTCATTCATTTTCATTTGATTTTGACAGTTTTATATCATTTCACTTATAATAAGAAATATACCAAATTATTAACAAATTAAAAACATTAACAAATATGTCTGACTTATCCAATATCCACAAATAGTTCATATGTCACTTGGGAATTGCGATTTGCTACGTATCGCTTGAATATATAATGAAAACACTATTCTTTTATTTAAACCTTTAAATTTATTATTGATAATTACTATAATTTATAACACTACTTTATTTATTTTATATTTGTACAGTTCACTTATTAGTGTATCAACCAACTTGCACTTTTCGAAGTTAGCGAAAATAGGATATAACGCTCACCTCTAGCGGACGAGTCGCACAACTTGCATCATGGTTTCTGATTATTGTGTTGGCAGCAATGTATGACATAAACAGCGCGAATTTCAAACTGGAAATCTAAGCATAAGGAAAGGAATAGAATTGTTTGTATAATAATATATAGAAGTGTATACATTTTATCAAAGTTTGAAATGTAATTGATTATTCAGGCTTGAATGAGCACAACATAAAACTTAAATTGGCTATTTTTTATAATTATGTATATAATTTCATTCTATCATAACTAGTTAAATTATGCATCTATTTCAAAGAAATATATCTTGAACCTAATAAGTACCTAGTTTCAAATTCTTGTAAATTAAATTTATTTCTAAATTAAGCAATATAAATATTATTCCTACTTTATTAACTATCTGAGGTAAATATCACAAAGTAAAATAAAATAACAATTACTTTACTATATATGTATGTATTACACAATATTTTAGTTGCATATACAAGCTTAAAATATAAATATATATTATAAATTTTATTTAAAAAATCTAAATGCTAGGTAAAGAACCTATTACCGAAGTAGTTATGGATTCGAATATAATCTAAGAAATATATCTAAAGGCATTTGTATCATTCCTGCGATAATTTGTATTGAAATAGGTAATAAATATTCCACAACATAACTAATGTATTAAGAAACATTTACGTTTGGTCATCTATTCATAACAATCTAGATAATTCAAAATAATAAATTTTAGAGGACCAAATACATAAAGCGGTCATTTATGTATTATTGCACTAGGAAACACACATATTCAATTATTGCGTCAGGTTACTATAATAATTTTTGATACTTTATGCTACTTTATTAACAAAATTTGAGAGATAGTATTTTTCTTTTCTTTTTTATACATTTTATTATAGAAATATTTAAATATTGAGGTATTACATAAAAATAAACCATCATTTTTAAATAGCTCAACATTGTCACAAATTTTAATTTAACTATATGTTGTAATAGATTTGTAAATGATTTGCTCAAAATGTAATTCTGAATCAGTGATTAGCAATTGATATAAAATATTATGAGCAAATCATAAAATTGTGATTAAGATTCAAATCGATACAAAATTATACATTACAGCAGCAAACAAGCAAGATAAGCAATAATAAATCTTTGTACAAAATGTTTTATATAATTTCTTAAATATTTTTCTCTATATCTAGATCACCTTAGTTTTACCAAATAATGATATCTATTATTATACAAACTTAGAAGTTTAATACCTATACTTATTAACAATACACAAATATATACACAATAAGTTTATCAGGATCACCAATGAAAACCTTTTTAGTCTTTAGCAAATGGACAGTTAATACATTTATCATTAATAAGTATCACTTATTATTAACCACATCATAGCCATAATTATTAATTATATAATAAAAAAATAAAAAGTGCCATTTATTTTTAATGATGATTACTATGTTTTTCTAAAGAGATTTTCAAAAAAAGAATGCAACGTTTGCTGATACTAGTCTTACTAGATCCAGCCAGTATACTAGATGTGAGACTCATAAATTTATATAGTTTCATTATTTTTATAAGACAAACAAACAAGAAATCGTCACTTGGTAAAAAATATTGAAATAATTCAAACTAATTTGGCAAACACTGCATTCGATTGATGGAATGCTCTACAAATATGCGTTTGGTGTTACATGGATTAGAAATTTCATGAAATTCAAGATTATTTGAATTAATTCAGTGCTAACAAAATTTATTTTTAAATTGGTATTTGTTATCACATTAAAAATATACTAGTAGAATTGAAACTAAAATTCATTTGTTGCACAAAAAAAACTCTGCAATGAATCAAAGAAATATTATCAAATGTATGTGTATAACACAAATAATATAAGGAACAATTTTGCAGTTGTTACTATTTAAACTAGTATCAAATATTCGCAAAATATATTTACTTAAAAATAATTTCTTATCACTTTAGCTATGTACAAAATATTCATAAATATTTTAAATTACTCTTTTGTCTGCCTGTGCAAATTATTATTAGAAATTGTAGGGTCCATGCTATCGTTTGTGGAGTTTGTGACTGAACCTTGATCCAAAAGACTGTTATTGGATCTCGGTACAAGAACAACAGAACCATCAGCACTTTGCTGAAGACTGTATTGATACTGGGAATAAGGATTTCCATCAGAGTCTCTAAGATTCTGTAAAAACAGGAATTATTTTAATAATTCAAAATATAAAATTGCTTATTATATGTAATGCACTATTTATTTTACCTGGAACACATGTCTGTACAACTGAGCAAACTTATCCTTAATACGTTGCCTCTCGTTAATGACATGATCTCTTTCTCTGAGTAGTCGATGTTTTCGTTCTCTCATATCTTTGACTTCATCAGCCAAAGAAACTATTTGATCCAGCTTTCGCTTGCGGCAATTCTGAGCAGCAACCTAATACATCAAGCAATATTAATTAATTTATCTAATCAAAATATATAATTATTACAATGTTGAAAACAATGTATGACTACATTAATATTATATTATTACCTTATTCTTTCCACGGCGTCTGATGTCTCTGATCAAAGACAGCTGAGACTCTGTGAGATCATGTTTACTCAAACGCTCATTAAATTCATCCATAGGCAAGTTAATGATATCATGAACTTGAATTGGTACATTCAGGGCTCTTGCTCTTTTCTCATCTCTTGTCAAATGTTCTTCAGGACTGTCTCCATTCTTCCGTTGCTTGTCTTTCTTGTCCCTCGTTTGAGGTCTTGGAGTAGCACCTGCCATGTGGGGTGGCATGTGGTAGGTGTGATTATGGGCTATAGGATCGTAAGCTGCCCTAATGCTCTGCTGACGAGCAAAGTCCATTGTGCAGGAGTACTTCATTTCAGGCATAAATTCTAATAAATAGTTAACATATATTTAAAATTGAAGAACAAGGTAATACAATTTATTTTCATTCAATTTACCTGTTGTTTTGTGTCCATTAATGACATCAACCCCTGGTAACATATGACCTGGCCCAGTGTAGTGACCTGGTTCATATTCAAATTTCACAGGTGTGCTCACATGTGGAGCTAAAGGAGGAGCCAGAGATCTGAGATGATTTCCATTAGAGGATGGTGGACTGTTTTGTTCTTGGAAGTATCTTCTGGCAAACATATGGTGTTTCTTCTGAGCAACAGGAGGCTGGCGCGAGGATATCGATGCGGTACCATTGTTACTGCTAGTATTGTAGCTGTAGTCATATGGACTGTATTTGCTAAAAAACAGTAATAGATAGTCATATTAGAATTGTTTAGAACTAACTTCATAAGAATAGAGTTTTTATTATATTTATTTGGTTATAATTCAATTACCTGTGGTGCTGGTGATGGTGATAATCCTGAGCGGAATCGCTGCCGTTCTCTCCCCACTCGCCGTCGCTGAGCGAGGGAACGCGCTCGGAGCCCATTGAGCTGACGGCGCTGTCGCTGGAGGCGTCCATCCGGTCGGTTCCGCCTGTGTGTCCAGAGGCTGATGCCCCGTGACCAGAACCGCTAACGCCTACCATGGCTGTGGCGCCGTTTTGCAGAACTACGCCGCTGCTAGCGCCCTGCTGCTGAGTCGCGTTGCTCTGCTGCTGCTGGTGGGCTGCGTCCAGCATTCGCATTGTGTACATACCTAAAATAAAAAAATATTAAGTATAATACTATAGGGACAGATTAATTATTGAAATAGATATGAAATAAATAGAGATTCTTAAAAATAGAATTAGTAACATTCATATTACATAATAATAACTCACACTAATCAACTTAGTGCTGCATCCAATAATTCTAGTACTGTAACCTCCTAATAAACTTAAGCTCCCGAAGGAGAAGATTATGATTTCCGAGAATTATCAGTATACATTTTATGACATTTTTAATACGGATGAATGGCCTAGAGATCTTACCAATAGATTTACAAGAAAAATCAATTGTATAAAAACTAGAGCAAAATTTTAAAGTAAAATGTACGTGATCGATCTTTGAATACTTAAAATCATCCCAGTGTTGATACTCAAGAACAATTTTTATTATAAAATTATAACAAGTAAAAAAGTAATGGAAATAATAATTCCGAAATATTTTATGAAAAATACTGATTACAACCAGATACCGAGTCTTTTCGGTGATCTTGGATGTTTATATATTTACCATCACGAGATCATCGTAAAGACCCCGCATCTGGTTGTAATCAGTTATTTCCATAAAATATTTTGGAATTATTTAATAAACAGAGCAGTGAACGATTCGTAAACACGTTTTTTTGTGTATTAGTTTTGTGAGACTTTGTCCCTTGTCCCATTAATCAAATTCATTATCAAATCAGACATAGTTCGAAGTCGCGCTCACGTATTTATTTAACTTAACGCTTCCATTCATTCATGCATGTCACGATGATATTGCAAAATTATATTGTTTAGACATTATAAAGTATTACGTCGAAGTTCTGGATTTATAAATATTCAATTTTAAAACAAACCGTTGCGGCTAATAAAATGACTGGAATGGAAAAGAAATGTAGAGACAAGACATCCAAATAATGTGCAAATTGTAAATATTTATTTTTAGAATTTCTTTTGCTTATAATATAGGCCAAGAACGTGCACAAAAAATTCACAAAATTAATTTCTGTTGCAGCAACGAAAACTGAACAAAACTCTCTCATATATTCCAAGTCCAAGACATTTGTTTAATATCCTGAAAATATTGTTCCGGGCACTTTTTTCTACAATTTGCACAAATTCACTACAATTTCATATAAAGTTTAAGGACAACCATTGGAGTTGCAAAGTATAAAAAGTCGTTTAAGAAGTCAGCACAGGTCACAGGACTCGTTAAGTTCTGATTGCTGTGTAATAAAACAAAACTGTGTTGCATATCTTTTTACAGAATAAATTATATACAATAGAACTAAGATGTCATTGAAATAATAATTGTAGATAAATATTAGAGACATCCTATCCCCATAAAACACTGCCTGACAATTCGCACGTAGCGCTTATAGAATTCCCAGAATACGCCGGAAATATGATGATAAATTAAATCATTTCATTATCAAATGGTTTATGCTTGAATTCATTTTGTACACAAAAAAGTTGTCACCTTATACGAAAATAAGAAGCAAAATTATGAGAATCCACTTGTTGTATCTACAGTCTTAAAACAAAATATAAAAACGTCGAGTCATTCTGTTGCGATTTAATTTTTATAAACGATAAGGAACAGCGTCACTTCAGCAATTTACGTTGTAAGAAAAAACTTTGAACTTATGAAAAATATTACCAAAATTAATTAACACCTTTAAGCACTTTATTTAAAATCTAGAACCTTATGAGGAGCACTTTAGGTTTCTAAAACATGAAGCAGATACTACAAGTTTCAGAAAAGCATTAATTAATTTACCATTCCGTTAAGGCTTGACAGATTCTTTCAAGAGGCTCTTTCCATGGAAGCTTTTGAAATTAAATAGTAAAAATTCTAAAACAGGATGATCTCAGTTTATTCCATAAAATATTCTTTCTCATTTCCTACCTTGACTACCTCTAAAAATTGAAGTATTTATAACGTCATTCATAATCTGTTACGTCTACGCAAAGCTCCTTGAAGATAAGTTGATAGCATTTGTAATGAAATAGGCCAGTTTAAATATTTGTCGTCTAGCTTCGAATAATTCAAAAATACTATTGTTTCCATTTGGATTAAATAAAATCGGTCAAGGTATGCACACATTGCAATTAAGCTAATTGAATCGCTTTGCTCATGGCAAAATCATCATTGAAAAACGATCATATGACTAGAATGATATTAGATCAGTAGAAAATATTTTCAGAATCAATATAAGGGTAAAAAGACATATTGATTGATGCAGTGCAATTAGAATGCTGGATTTGCAGATTATTTTATAAAACTAAATTGTAAACATTTTTTACGTTATAGTATAAGAGTCCACCATTGAAGACTCGATGGCTAAGTTATACATATGAAAATTTTAGATAAGTAAGATTTTAAAAAATCCCTTAGATTCTAATAAGTATCCACACTATACAAGCCTAAAACTCCTAAATAGTATCTAAAAAATCTATTTTGATTTCAAAATTAAATGCAGTAATTTTTTTTATTAGTTATCTTTTCAATGTTTATCTTTCGCGTGTTTGATATAATTTTATCTATACACATTTATCGTTAAAAAAATTAAACAATAAAAATGGAGCGATAACATTTTCTTCATAATTATATATTTTCTATTTTTAGCAATTTTATTTGTGTCAAATGATAGGATAAAAGTAAACTCTATTTACTAAAAGGTACTCTATTTTCTAAAAACATTTAATTAGTACAAGCATATTCTTCAGTACTGATTGTAGGTACTTTGATTATATAAGTGTAGACCAAAATGTTAAAAAATTATAAAAAAAATAATATATATTTATGTAGAAGGACACATGTGGTATCACAACGGGAAAATAAAATTTATATAATGATGTATTGTATAAATTCTACGTATTACAAACAAATGACTTCTACTTCAATAATATTTTTAAGTCATCATCTACAATATTGTGAAAACATACATCTGTCGCACCTATAAAATAGGAATATTTAGATGAGTAATACTATAAAACACGTGTACTATGACAAATAACCGGTATTGAAATTACGAGGTAGGTATTAGCAACGTGTTACTCATAATGGAAGTTATTACAAATCTGTGATTTACATTATTATTGCACAATATTAATCCACTACTGAGGAATTTATTTATGATAACTAAGGATTTTATAAACAAACATAAAGTTCTAAATAAATAATTTGGGCTTGTTCGTGGTAAGAGAGAAAATATAAATCTTAATATCATTTCGAGTGAAAATAGCCTCACAGGACATTGCTGTTTATATATCACATGACTATTAGTAAGTAATATTAGTCTCATTAAAAAGAGAATACACAACCACTGGGTTGCATTCTAATAATACTAGGTTGAGAAATGACCCATAGCAATTAACATAAGGATGTTCTGATTACTATTCATATTTTTTTAAAAATTAATTTAAGGAGTGCGTCCGTTAATCAAGTGAGGGTTTTAGAGGGAGGAGGAGCTTGACAAAAAATCACAAAATATCACGTGGGAAAGGGAGTGGTCTAGTAAGATATGAAGTGTATTTATTTTTTACCTGAATTTTCAAAAAATTAAAAATTTTAATACAAATTAATTTTCGTGGATTCGAAAAATTCGTTCTAAAAATTTTGCATAACTAAAAATACACATGATGTTTGGTGGGGCAGGAGGGGGTAAATTTAAATATTACGACGTATCACTAAAGGGTGAGAGGGTGTTCCAAAATCCCTGAAAAATCGATCACGTAATTAATGGACACCCTTTAAATAGAACTTTCATTGTTAATCAGATAACTAAGTCTTTCCAAGGTTTCCTTGATAATACCCTATTTTATTTTGAATACTATGAAAGTAAGAAATAAATGTATACGATTAAATTCTACAAGAAATATGTTGCTTGTTAATTTATATGCAAATTATGTAAAAATCTAATATTATGTTTCATATTATTATAAACATACAAGATGTGATTAAATATTCATTTTACATTTTCGTAATATTGAACTGATACGGTTTCTATATTACTAATTAATAATTTAATTAGGTCGCTATTCGAAACTTTCCAGTAATAAATAATCATTATAAAAATAAATAACAAGCGGTATTTTATGAGAATATGATGATAAGTTAATACACTTACTTCTAAACCTTAGGTATAATTCTAAATTTATGTCCAAAGGCAGTGCATTATCACCGTTAATCAAAGGCAACGCACTTGAAAAATATTCCGGCGTTCCAAAACTGTTCACTGCACA